TATATATATATATACATATATATGGAGCAAGGACCAATTACAGTAGACATCAATGCAAGACTCCAAAGCACAGGATAATGTCCAGATTTCACTACCGTATACAAAACTGGCATTATCAGGAACTTGAAAACCCGAAGCTTGGTCCTTCTGCATCTCCAAATATTCTTGTCGGGTGAGTTCATGACCCCTGCTGCCAGGCCAATCCATCTAATGACTTCTTGGTCTGACAGCACAGAGTTATGAACTACAATACCAAGATATGTAAAACTCTCTGTGACTTCAATATCCTCGCTACAAGCATGTACCAGCCAAACAGGTTCTCCTAGCAAGTCCCCAAAATCCTGGATCTTGGTCTTGCTCCAGGAGACCTCTAGACCCAAGGGCTTTGCTTTATTGCTAAATGTATCCAGATCCATCACTAAGGTTTCCAAAGACGCAGATAGAATACCAACATCATCAGCAAAGTCAAGGTCTGTAACCTTGATATTGCCCAGAGTTGCTCCACAATGACTGAACAGTAGCTCTGCCCAGTATCCAGTCCATGCAAGTGTTGAAAAGTGTTGGTGCAAGGACACAGCCTTGCCTCACTCCTGAATTAACAGACAAGAAGCTCTACAGGCCCCCACCACACTTTAGAACACTTTCAGTACCAGTATACAGACTTGCTATTACTCCAATAATCCTTTTTGGAATTCCTCTCAGTCTCAGGATCTCCCAGAGTGATTCCTGATTCACCATATCAAATGCCTTCTTGATGTAGGCTGTAAGCAGCCCACAACTGAACTTATTTTTGTTTAGTATGTCCAAATAAAGGTAAAATTTTCCTTCTAACTGATGGCTGTTGGGAACTAAAACTATTGTATAAATTGTCACAAATTAGGGATAAATCAACAATTTTTGATTTTTGGCTCCCACAAACAAAATCCCAGTTTCCCATTGGTCTCCTGTCTGCAAAATGATATAAATGCCAATTATGGCTTGAGGCGAAAATAACCATCAGATTCTTCCAGTTCATTACTTCAGAAATCACTATTTTCTTTAGTCAGGTTCATAGGTGTCACTCAAAATGTTCAACCAACAATAATAATCAGCATAGCATGTAAGCCACAGTGCTACTTTATGCATTCCTACTCTAGACAATTACCCAAGTCTATTCTAAACAATTTCTAATATCAAATTCGGTAATTTTCTATATTATGTCCGCCGCTCTAACATCGACGATTTTGGTATCATTGGATTCCTAGCACTGTCCACATTACAAATATATGTTATTATTGCACGGAAATTCCCCTATAGCAACAAACTTGGACCCGATACAGGGCAGGGCATCAAAGGTTCCAGGGAAAATGCGGGGTTAAATAACACTAATAATATAACCCACAGTAAAAATAACCATGGTTATTCACATGACTTTCCATTGCAGGGGGCTGCCGCCCCCCAACCCCCGCCGAGGAAACAAAACATCCACCACATATTCACGGCAGGCCAATGCGTTACAAAATTATTGTCGATGTCGGAGCGGCAGACATAATATTACAATTTCCTTGTAACATTCCCACTGAATCAGTAGATTAACCTTGACATAGTCAGCATTGTATACAGAGATGATAGTAGTTTAATCAGGATGAACAGGGTATACCATGAATAGAAGAGCAGCAGTGGACCGCCCTTGTCGGTGGGTTTTGCACCTCTCTCGAGGTTACATCAATAGCCTCGGATGATGGAGTGGAATGATATATGGACACTAGTAAGACGTATAGTAGAGTCAGCCAACAGATGGCAGTTATTATCCCATACAGTTACTGAAGTGACTATGTTGCCATCTATTGTATAAGAATGTAGCCTCAAGGTCGAGTTTCGTGTCCTTAGGAACCACAATATTCGTATTCCTAACCAAAATAACCGCCGCGTTCGGTACTCTGACATTGTCACCGCGATGACTGAATGTAGAGGGTGCTCCTACTCGGAGACTGATTTCAGTACCTACTATCAGTGGCATCTATCAATCCGGTTAGTACCTTAAAAATCCTAGGTTATGGTAGGTTATGGCTCCCACCTTGTTCGTGTGTGGTCTATCTATCCTGCCTGAAGACGTGGTGGATTTTGTTTCTTCGGTGGGGGTTGGGGGGTGGTAGTCCCCCAGGGGTGGTCGCAGGGGGCACAGCCCCCTGCAACGGAGTCATGTGAATAACCATGGTTATTTTCACTGTGGGTTTCTATATTATGTCCGCCGCTCTGACATCATCGCCCCTGCTCTCGGGGCCAAGTTCGTCGCTATAGGGGGGTTTCCATGCAATAAAACCTATATATTTGCATTGTATAGAGGAATCCACCGATACCAGAATCGTCGATGTCGGAGCGGCGGTCGTAATATAGAAAATTACCTTAAATTCTAATGTTAGGCAGTTTTAATCAGGTGTGAATGTCTGGAAGGTGAAAAAGGCAAGTCGTGCATATCAACACTGGCATTCACAACCATCTTTATTTCTTACCTTCTTGAGAAAATCATTCTCACTCACGATGGTAACTGCTTTCTTTTTCTCATTTTCTAAGTATTCCTTTAGTTCCAAACTCCTCTTAGTTTTTCCACTTGATGGAAATCCGCACAAAATAATAAGAGGCATCTTGGTGGACTATACACGAATGTTAAGTATAAATTCAGGATCTCTGCAATACATAATAATAATGATAATGATAATAAAAAAAAAAAAACATATGGTATCTAGCTTCATCCCACTTTGATTTGAATGGTGTAACATAAGTAATTTGGCATGAATGGACATATTGCAGAATTATGATATTCATATACATATGATTGTAATATTTCTCTAAATTAGTTGTTTTACCCCGTTGTATTGCAATTATATGGAAAATATAAAAATGAGGCATATTTGTACTATTAAATTAAATCTATCCACTATAACTTAAAAGTATATAAAAGTCCTGAATAACATCAGGAGGGTTTCGGATTCAAACTACAGACGTACACATGCGAGTGTAGCCATTAGAGACGTATAAACACCTCCAGCAAGCAAACATCCAGGCACTCGTGCATGAGACATTATCTATCTAACATCCAGGCACTCGTGTATAAGACATTATCTATCTAACACCCGGGCACTCGTGTATGAGACATTGGATGACTCAGACCACTCTTTTAGACGCAGTAGCAACAGAGTAAAAGTCGTGTGCCACTTGAGCTACCCTGTCCGGGGCCTCTCATCTCGCTCGGCACTGTTGTTCCTGAGTTAAATAACGTAAATTACATAGAGTAAACTTTTGATTTTTTTTCAGAACCAGCCATTTTGCCTGCACCTGTAGTGCTTGCAGGTCACACGAGACTACAGTAGTAGTAGTCAGCAACCTACCTCAGCAGGGGCCGGGGGCCGGATTACTAACGTCTTACGATATCGTAAATGGTTTATTTATATCGTAAAACAAGATCCTCTCTCGTTTCTCGCAACGAGCGTATTTTCAAAACACTGCCGAGGTCGTAAACATATCTCCGTACGAGAGACATTTACGGGAGCCCGAAACCTCTCGTGACGCTTATCGTAGCGACCCTCCTCAGCTCATATCAGCTTCATAAATACCTTCAGGAGTGTGTAAATGTCACTTTCCCATGCGGAAATCAATTAAGGTGCAAGAGCAACCATTGAGGATGCATAATAGCGGAAAAAAACAATATGACTAATGTAAATAAGGATTGGCCTTTGCCAATGCATAGAGGTGCGGAAACACTTGATGTAAATCACTCAGCAAGTTTGATTTATCATGAATTAAAGGATCTCTAACACATCTTCAAGCAAGAAATCTGCATGAAAATGCATAATTCCATCATTATGACTATTTTCCTCTATAGCAACAAAACATGATAATATATTGATAACAAATGTACCAATATACAAACACACCTTTTGAATAGCCTAATGTAAAATTACATTTAGCATTGGATCCATTTCTTTATGAATAATGATTAAGATGAATGTTTTACTGGATTGTAACAAATTTTTATCATAATATCTTATGAAAATATACGAAATGCTTGATTTTTTTTGAGAGACATAGATATGAATATAATATATGTGATCTCTTCTCTCTCTACATATATTTGTCTATATATATATACTATATAAATATATGCATATATACATACAATTCTGTATATACAAAAATATATACATGTATATGTATATGTACTACATGTACTGCATATCTTTTGGCTTATGTATATATATAGGCCTACCACACATACACACACACACACACACACACACACACACACACACACACACACACACACACACACACACACACACACAACATATATAATAATATATATAATATATATATATATATATATTATGCATATATATATATATATATATTATATATATATATTATATATATATATATATATATAATATATATATATATGTATATATATATATATATATATATATTATATATATATATATATATATATTATATATATATATATATATATTATATATATATATATATATATATATGTATATATATATGTCATATATATTATATATATATATATAATATATATATATACATATATATAATATAATATATATATATATATATATATATATATATATATATATTATATATGTGTGTGTGTGTGTGTGTGTGTGTGTGTGTGTGTGTGTATGTATATATATAATATATATAATGCATATATAGATTATAGTATTATATATTATATGTGAATGTTTGTATGTATAATTATATCCATACATATATATATATATATATATATATATATATATATATATAATATATATATATTATATATATATATGTATGTATATATAATATATATATATGCAAATATAGATTAATAGATATATAGTAAATGTTAATGTTTGTATGTATAATGTATATACATACATATATATAAAATGTATGTAATATTGAATATTATATATATAATATTATATATATATATATACATATACATATATATATACATATACATATATATATATATATATATATATATATATATATATTATATATATATATATAGTATAGAGAGAGAGAGAGAGAGGAGAGAGAGAGAGAGAGAGAGAGAGAGAGAGAGATGGTATAGCCTTAGCTATATACATAATATATATATATATATATATATATATATATATATATTATATATATATATATATATATAGGTATCAGAATTTTAAGACTATTTATAAAGGTGGTAATGATCAATAAAAGGTAATGATTCACCAGGTGGTGATATAGAAACTGTTTTAAGTCAGACTCATTAGTGTTGCTTCAGTTCAGCGGATAACTTTCTGTGATTGGTCGATTTTTTTCCGAGCTTACGCTGATTGGTCGATCGAGCCGTTCTTTTAGGAAATGAAGCCCTACGACACCTAGCGATAGAAAATTCGGTCGTTACGGTTACAAGACCCCTGCGCTCTCGTTGTTTGGCGTTTGAAAATAGGTCGTAAAGTCGCTAGTTGAGAAATCATTGATAGTTCTCGTAACTGTTACGAGAGACAGCGTTTACGAGAGAGTTTAGTAAATCCGGCCCCTGCTCCTTCAATTGTGGGTCGTTCGTTCTGGGGGAAGGCGAGATCAGTAGCAACTCGAGGAGGTGTCATGGCGTCTGGTTCTATTTTTTTGAAAAAACACATGGGGGTTCGTTTTGATGACGTCACAAAAATTATAGATGCTTTGTGAATATAATTGATCATTTTTTTTTTCAAAAGGGATGGAAAGTAATGATTTTAATGGTTATATTTTCATTGAACAATCATCAAAACAGACGCCATGACACCTCGAGTCGCTACTGATCTAGTACCGATAGTTACTTTAGTTAGTTACTAGTTAGTCAATTACCTTCCCCGTTAGTTATGTCGTGTTGGCGTCGCGGTTTCAATGGACATCGATCTTCTCTACTCATTCGACATTTTCCACATGGATTTAGCTATATGTATGTACAAAGAGCTAAGAATTGTGATTTCGTTATTACGTGTAGCGATGGTAATGCTTAAAAGTTGTGATAAAAAAAGTTTGAGTCAGTGCTGCTTACTTTTGTTCGATCGTTTTAAAAAATTCATTTATGTAAGCAATAAAAAATACTCAAGACAACAGCTGACGTATTTGAAAATCAACACGGGTATTCGACTCCTGATGATGTTAAAGTCGCATTCTGTGCTTGGGTGGATGCCGCTGTCGCCCTTATCCCAAATTTGACCACTTTCAGCAAAATCTTTAAATGGATAGAGAGATAGCTCGACGGTAGGGTGTAATGGCTTGAAGTCTTAATGGTCTTAATGGGTAATTGGCTCCTTCGTAAATCATAACTATTTACTTTCAAATAGTATTTTGCTCTTTGTAAGCTCTCATTTATATTACGACACCGAACTGGATGTCAGGGAATAAGGTTAGTACACTCACCTTTGCCAGAATCTGTGTCTTTTCAGCTCCTTCCTTGTAGCCGTATGTGTAAGTATCTCGTCATACGCAAATTCAAATCGTATTACCCTTATTCTTTCGTGTTTCTATGCGTATGTTCCTCCCTGCCACCGTTTTATGTTTCACCCATTCTTTCGCCATCTTCTATGTCCTCATCTCTTCTTCCTTTCATCTCCCTTCCTTCTCCTCTTTATCTCTCTCCTTGATTTCTGTTTCTCTTTGTTTCTGTGATCATATATATAATATATATATATATACATATATTATATATATATATATATTATATTATATGTATATATATATATATATATATATAATAATATTATATGTGTGTGTGTGTGTGTGTGTGTGTGTGTGTGTGTGTGTGTGTGTGGTGTGTGTGTGTATATATATATATATAATACTATATTATATAATATATATATATATATATATACTATATACATATACAATACATATATATATATATATATATATATATATATATAATATATATATACATATACAATACATACATATATATATATATATTAATATATATATAGTATATATATATATATATATGTATATATATATATATATGCATACATACATACATTTAAGCGAGCTTTTTTACATTCAGGTGAAAAACGTTTAGAAAATGTAATTTTCCTGATTCTTCCCCTTCTACAAAAATTGATAGTCCGAGCGACGTTGTTAAATCTTTTGATAAAATAATCGAAATCCGTATGGTTTACTTGCCACAGAGAGAGAGAGAGAGAGAGAGAGAGGAGAGAGAGAGAGAGAGAGAGAGAGAGAGAGAGAGAGAGAGAGAGAGAGAGAGAGAGAGAGAGAGAGAGAGAGAGAGAATCCTCATATCGAAACCAAATCGTGTCTAGGAGAAGAGCAGACGGAAGGAGTTCCAATTCAAACATCTCCCCGTATAAATTCTCAGAACCGATCTTATTACCACCATTATTCGTGAGACAAACGAAAGGGATCAATAAAGTAATTGGGCGGAAATAGGGATCTTCAGATGAGAGTAAGAAAATTTTCTTTCAAGAAAATCTAGCAGATCCTCAAACGGGACATTAGTAAAAGGAGAATCCACCTCAAACCTCACTAATTTCTAACTTTCTCCACGAAATCCACCGAATGATTAATATAACTCCCAGAGAAGGATCCCAAAAAAGGAGATAAAACGCCCACTCGCCAAAAATCCAATGGGCGGGCAATTGAGTTACGGAACGAAAAAAAACAGTCCTTAAAGGAACGCCTGTTTGCCAGTCTTAGGAAAGCCTTGAAATACGGAATTAAGGGACTTACCTGTCTAAAATGAAAGAGAGAGAGAGAGGAGGAGGGGGTGGAAAGAAAGAGAGAAAAATAAAAGACCAGAGGGATGAAATATAATGAAAATAGAAAAAAAAGGAATAAATGAGAAGTTGACAAAATTAAAGGGAAAAATATTAGATGATAATGATGATTTCTACTACTGTTGTTCTTATCAAAATTGATATCATTAATTTCATCATAACTACTGTTATCATTGTTATTATTGTCATTCTCTGTATTATTGTTATTGTTGTTGTTCTCATTATTATAATCATGATTATTATTACCATTATTATCATTATTATAACTCATCATTATTATCATTATTGTCATT